CGTGTAATGTTTGTATGATCGAAGAGTATCCGCTATTTAATCAAATGTTAAACTTCACGGCATTATAAATTTAAGCCGTTTAATGTATCATTTAAAACGGTGCATTTAACCAGTTTCGCGATCGTAATTTTGAGTATCCAATAAAGTAGATTGAAGACCCGGATGGTAATAAATCGTCTGACGATCATCGACGAACGTAATAGCCTGTGTATTGTGCTATAAAATAGCGCTGCCTTCAGTTCTTCTATTAACACTACTCCCGATACTTGATTACATTAAAATGCTATTTTATTTTACTTTCCTCGACCATTATTTCCTAATCTTGATAATAGAATAGTTTTATGATGACTTTATTCGCAATAGCGTTTTACTTCTAAAATTTGAGAAAGAAGAAGGAAAGAAACATACTTCTTTTCCCACAAATATAGAAAAACTGTTTTTAATTATTTCTTTCATAAAGAAATTGGAAATTTGATGTTTAAATTTTCATTTCGTAGCCTTAGACTGGTCAAATTATTACTTTATTTCAGGTTTCAGATTATGTTTTGGGTTATTTTAACTCACTTTATATATTACTGTTTATAAAATAAAAGAGAAGGGAATAAAGATATTATTATTATTTTAATATATCAGTACAAAAAATATAAAAGTTATTATATTGTATGGATATACAATGTATGTATAACACATTTTCACAATTTATGTTACCATTTGCTTTCAACCGATAACAAATCTATTCGTGATTTATAAATCTTCTTTAAGCTAACATCAGTTTAGCTTTTCAAACAACAAATTAAACTACGGATGTATTTATGTGTGGTTTGTTACGCGTGTGGTTTCGTATGCACATAGATGCAGTCATAAAGATAAGCCTATGCATATGAGCAGAATTACGATGTGGACACTGGAATACTGCTTTTTTTCAAGCACCATATGACTTTAAACTTATATATGCAATTTATATTTATATGTGCGTCTTTAATCTCTAAATTCTACACCTTTTCCATTTCCTCTACCACTTTTTTCTATTATAGTATCATCTTATTAGTAATAAATAAGCTATTTATGACAATTCCTAATTCTTGCTTTTATAGTCATAGTAAAAACTCTATTCTGCCTTTCTTTTACGATTAAGTATTTTTTTGCGATCAGTAGTTGTTTTATTTAATGAAAAAGAAATTGAAATGCAGAGAATCAAGAAATTCCTATGGCAGAAGGAATCTTAATTTTGATCCTACGTAAATTTTTTCAAAATACCTTTTCGGTTTTGTTATTTATTTTCTCAGAATTTTGACTTATAACAAATTATTTTGATATCCATGTTTGTAAAATTTGACGTAATTTTAGTTCAAACTTATGAAATACTTATCCTAAACTATTACATTACGGAACATTAATAATTCCGTAAGATTAAAAGTACAAATTAATCAAATGTAATATTATAAATAAACAACAAAATTAATAAAATTTATTTTGGTATTCAATTATAAGTACAATCGTGCAGAGTCTCACAGTCTCTACTACGCTAGAAAGTACTTCGGCTTCTAAATTTCCACAGACTAGGGACTGGATTTGACTTAATCTCAACTCTAACTAACTCCTAAAGATTGTTACTAATAACGAACAACTTTTACTAGACTCGCTCTTAAAAGACTCTTACAAAACTCTTAACAAACTGTTAACGAACTACCAATGACCTAAACAACAACTACTCTTAACAAACTATACAACTCTTCACGAACTAAAAACAACTAAACTCGAACTGCTGACAAACTATACTCCATCTTCTAGAACGGGCCCTTTTAAGCCCGTCTAGAAGGAAAGGGCCTCCCCTGAAGGAGGAGAAAACTCTCTCCACGCCAAGCTTAAGGGAGGAAGAGATTCCTTCTTCCGGGTTAGGTTTTCCGAAGGATCACCCTCGCGGGGACCTTCCCCGAAAGGTGACCGCGGATGCGTCACTCTCGGTTTACCTTCTATGACCCATCCGACAGCCAGACCCTAACGGGTCCTCTAAACCTGGCGAAGTGTTCCCTAAAAGAATATCCTAATAATATTAGGAAATATCCTAATAATGCCTAAAAATATCCTACAATAATATTCATTTTTTTCTGTATTCAGAAAATATTTATTTATTTTCTACGTTTCTAAATTTTTTAACATTCTATTATCAAGAATGATTATAATAATGTTACACATTTTTCATTTTCTCATAACTTATTTAATATCGTGAAATGATAAGTTCGTAATTGGTAAATTAGTTGATTCAGCGATACTGTATATTGGTTAACATGAACCGACTTGCAGTTAAAGAGTCACAGCGAAATTTTAACATGTATTTGACGCGTTAAAGTCATTATGCCGTCTAAAAGCTGAATTCTCTTAAGCTTAGCCAACTTTCAGCACACAATAGAACAAAGAAGCATTTACCGACAGTGTTATGCCTAACAATAACTTGCTCTTCGTTTGAAAGATAGCGATGTACGATATGCTTGGAGATACACCGGGGTGATTTCTCTGGTCATCGTCCCGAATAATAGCCTTACTTAGGCAAAATACATGCTGTCTCGCGCATGCAGATTCGTTCAATGAATGCATCGTGATATAGTATCAAGAATATCGAGTAAGGTTTACCGATATACACCTAGAGAATAGGAAATTATTAAATAATATTTGTGCATAAAATATAATGTACTAAAATATTGTACAAATGAAATGATTTATTTTCAGCATATTGAGCAATGTTTAGTGAAATGTACCTAGAGATTAAAAAATTATTAAATAATATTTGTGTATAAAATATCATGTATGAAAAATTTGAATTTGAGTTCGCGTTTGACTTTGAATTTTAATTTTAATTTTAATTTTAATTTATTTTCAATTGGATCTAAACTTGAATTTGATTTTATTTCATTTATCTTATTTTATTCATTTCATTTTTTTAATTTATTTATATATCTCTTTCATTTATTTATGAGTTTTTCTCCATGCTGTGATGAATATATTGTACACATAACGAATTTTCTTAATTTTTTGAAGAACATTAATGTATACTCAAAAATCTGATGGAATATGAGTTACTTATTGATGCTCGATCAAAATGAAATATGTTAATGCCACCTTAAATAAAATAACATAAAAAAAAGGGAAAAGAAATGAATCATAAAATTTAAAGAACGAAATGGCCTTATCCAGATATTGCTTAAGCGTGCCGTTGTAACAAATATACCGTAAAGTATATAATAAATGATATCAAGAAAAGTTTCACAAGCATTTGATACAAAATTTCCCAAGTTCTGTCTCTTTGAAGATACGTTATTTATTTTAGTTGACCCGAATCCGAATTTGGAAACACGATCAAAGCAGCCACTACAAACCTTGCTCTCTTTGACCAACAGACACTTTTACACACAGATAAACAAAAAATATACACAAAAGTATACAAACGTATATAACTTTAAGCTCGACTTTTTAAAAAATTTTTATTTTCAGATTTATATTACGCTAAGATATTTGTCCTCATATTGGACTAACCCAAACAACATATACTTTTCGAGCTACGTAAAATGAAGGCTAGTTTACCTGACAAGTACATAAGCAGAATTTTTGTAGTAAAATTTTTGTAAATTTGTAAATATATAGAAAAGTATGCAACATATGATGTTTCCATTTGATACACTTTTATGTTTGTAATATTCAAAAATGTGTTCCAAATATTTCAGTATCAATCTGAAATGGCCAATACGATTTCACAGAGAAAGTGCTATTTGTTTATATTGTTTTGTTATTTATTTTAATAATTTAATATTTTATTCATTACAAATAACCTATAATAGATAAAACATCTAAAATGTATTTGTATGTAATATAATGTAAAATGTATGTCTTTTAATAATAGCTTCTTACTATTTTTGAACTGAATTTACTAATAATACAAATATTATTATCGATTGTGTAGACATTAGATTCTATCAATTAAGCCGTTCACTGCACAAATTGATTAACTCCATAAAATAAAAAGTAGAGAAATGCAATGAAATAATGTATATTGCTTTTTAAAATTATATAATTTTATAATTTATAATTTATAATTTAAATCGAAATAAATATTGTAGAATGCATAAATACGAATGTAACTTTCATCTAACGGTATATAAAATTTATAAGAAAAGATAGCCAAAAGGTAATCGTTAGTAATGTTACCATTTTTATGTTACTGGAAGAGTTAATCGGTTTGGCAAGTGAAAAAAGTAATAAATTTGAATTTTACTAAATTTTACTTAAATTCTGATAAGACGGCACTAAAAAATTCACGGTTATCATTCATGGCTTTGCTAGTGCATTTGAGTTGCATTATTGCAACGATTTACATTAGAATACGGAGTTAATCAAAGTGACCTCTGTAATAAATTATATTATTATCAGTGGGCAAAAAATTTTTGTCGTTTAATGGTGTTAATCTTAATTATCAGAGAAAGTTAGAATAAATATAAAAAGTCATAACTATACCAAGTGCTTTGACACTTAAATTTAAGATTTTTCAAAAAGTGAAATTAATAGATTTGTGCAGTGAACGACTCAATTCATGGAAACCTTGAATAGTTGAATATGTCTTCTTTTCATTTTCTATTAATATATAAATTAGTTTTATTGATTTCTTCTTACAATGTCCGGACAAGAAATATTCCTGTGAAAATTACTATTTATAGCAATGTTTATTCATACTAATCATCTTGATATTATCATTAACCTATTCTCGTACAATAAAAGTAGAAAAATGAATCCACCTTTAACAATACAATATTATCAATATTATCAATGTATTAATTGATTAACAATTTAAGATTATCGGTATTAAATCTTATCAATATTCGTAGACAATATTTGTATAAATTGTTAATTTTAATTATTACATTAATTTAATGTTATTATCGTATCGACATAAAATTCCTGATCCAAGTTAATAGAAATTAAAGTAAAATCGATATTGCAAATGAATTAAAATGATTGACAATAAAGGTGACGTCTATCGAGATTGTTCAAAGAAATTACACGGTTTCATTTTTTATTCTCTTTTTCAGGTTGCATGGTTGCGAGTGGACACGCAGACTATTTTAACGATAGCGAAACACGTGATCACGAAAAATCATAGAATTGGAGTATCGCATACAGAGCCGAAAACATGGCATTTAAACATACGCAATGTTGAGGAATCCGATCGAGGTGCTTACATGTGCCAGATCAACACCGATCCGATGAAGAGTCAAATCGGTTACTTGGAAGTTGTAGGTTGGTTGTTCGTTGTATTTTATATATTTTGCTTCATGTTTAACGTTGCATTATGTATGCATTGTAATTTATTAGATGAAAGGCTTTATGTAAAAACAAAAATCTATAAAATTATTTTAATTTAAAATATTAAAAGCTTCTTATTTTGTGTTTTCAAATTTAATATTATGTATCCTTTCACGTCTTATGTTATTAAATAGAGTGAAAATTCTTTAAAGTCATTTCATTTCATAATATTTAAAAAACACTGAAACACTGAAAATCTATACAATAATTTTGTAATGCGATACAAGGTATACTTGTATCTAAAGTCTATGAACAAGTATTAAAAAGTATGTATTTTTATACCACATATTATTAAGTGAAGTTAAAATCTAGAACTATTTAATTTTGTAAAGCTATTCATGTATTTTGTGTATTTTCAAGTTGAATATCATTTAATTTTTTATATCTTTTGTTATTAAATGCAAAGTTCCGTACATGCAGAATACTCTTTAAAATGATTCCACTTCAAAGTATGTAGAAAATACAAACAAATATTGGAAAGCTATGTAGACCTTTTATGTATTTTCTAATCTGATATTACTTATTTGGCTATATTATACATTAGAGAGATTACAAATAACAATCTTCAAAATTATTTCATTTTGAAATATTTAGAGAATGTACACGAGCATTGAAAAGAAATTATTGTATTATGTGTGTGTTCAAAACCAAAATAATTTATTATAGCTGCCTATTTAATATATTATTAGATTTTATGTCGCACTAAAAATTTGTATAATTATTTTATTTTTTAGTATTTAGAAAACAAGTAATTATTACATTTATTAATTTTATTAATTAATATATTTATTAGAAATAGTTTACCTATAGATAATATTCGTAATGAAGTACTCGTAACAGAATTAAAGATGTCATTAAATAATCATTTGTTTAATTTAAAATGAATTGGGTATTTAAGTTCAGCTGTTAGTCATCCTAATTCAAAATATAACATATACAATCTAATTTACTAAATAATACCTTTTATCGCGTGTAATTCCAGCATTTAAAGGCTTTCTACACTCCAATAAGGATTTATCCTCTTCTATTAGCTTCGCTATAATATCGCGGAAAATTACGCATTTACATTTGTGCAAGCTATTATAATTCCATTCTCGATCATTTTTGTTCGTCGAATTAATCTATTTTGTCTTTGTTAACTCCTCATATTTGTATTAAAATAATTTCCATTTCGTGACAGTAAATTAATGTTAGAAATTGAAGCTTTTCGTCGTTCATTATATTTTCACAAATTTGTCTCTTTTATTTCGTAAAGATAGGTTTGTGACTTGAGATAATAATGCAAGTACATGTACCTATGTGATAAAAACTACTTACTGACAAAAATTATAAAGCAAGGTAATAATTTGAGAATTTTTGTATGTTCTTCACCATTTGAGATGTATAGACTATAATTAAAAATAGATTCTATACAAGATATTCGAAAAAAATTTGTTATTAATTTTATTTTATTTTTAGTTTAAACCTATGTATTTCAAAAGGTGGAATGTATACAAAAATTCGCAAATGGTTACGTTGTTTCTCAACTTTTATCAGTAAGTGAATCTATTTATTTTCATCGCACCATTTTAGATAGTATTATCTATATTTGCTATATTAAGACATAAACAATAAAAAAATTTGATAATTTAATAATTATAAAAATATCATTTTCGTTCATCGATGCAATAATATAAACTCTTAATTTATCACACAAAAATATAAATGCATAAACATGAGAACATAAACGTTACCATATTAGTATAAAACATGAACAAAGTCATAATTTATACAAACATTGAAACATAGAAACATAAATATAGATTAAAAAAAAATACATCAGAAATTATTATCTTCGAAACTTTAAACAGAATATCATTATTAAAAATTATAGACTATAATCTTTCGTAGCGTCTCCTTTATCTCTAAAATACCTGTAAACTTCCTCGACATAAACTGCTCGAACTTTTCAACGAAGCTTGATGAAACTTTTTACCGCTTTTCTTCGGAAACCTCCTTAATATTTCTTTTATTTGGTAAGTCGTTTTTATTTTCATTCGATCTTCGACATGCTTTATCGCGTTTTAAAGAAGAAAGGAAAGATTATTTAAATGGACTGAACAATACTTAGCAAAACCTCGATTATTTATAGTTGAATCAAACTATAAAGTAGAATTTAATTTTTAAATTCTCAAAATTCGAATTCGGAATACCGGTTTTATTTTGTAAGGGAGATATTTTCCTTTAGGAATTAACGTCTTAACAAAATTTCTGTATATACTTTTAATATAGGTTATTTAATTTTTATTTTAATATTAATTATTATAGTTTCAATTATTTAATTGTAATTTTTCTTGTATAGTCATTTACATGTTAATTTTCATCCTAGTCATTGTCATTTGAATTATTTAATTTTTGTTTTAAATTTAAACTGAATGATTAGCTTTTCCAATATATTTTTTATTTTGTATTCATTTTTCGCCTACCAAATCATAGCAAATACACAATTATAAATAAAATTTCTTAATAAAAAAATTTATTTTCCACACTTTCTTATGCTCGTATATATTTATTACAAATTAATAAGAATATTATGTAAGAAAAACAGTTTTCTATAGCAATCCTATTTACTACTAACTAATTATTAAATTAAACATTGTATAAGAATGTTGCTTATAATTCCAACTTTGCTGTGTAGCTATAAATATTCGTGAATTAATTACAGAAACCTGGAAATTTATTAATTTTCTACTACCGAATAAGTAGAAATTTTACCGCCTGCGATCAGCGCCATCTATGATTTGGGCTCAAAAATCAAGAAAGTGATAGGAATATAGAATAGGCAAGGAGGTCGTCTATACCTGGTAACGTGACAGACAAGGACAGAGTGGGGATAGAAAAGGATAGAAGGGCTCCGATAGAGAAGAGTTAATAAATTACTCAATTTTCGTAATTAATTTATGAACTTTTATAATTTCATTGCAAAGCTGGAACTTCGGGCAACATTCCTATATAACCTTTGTAAAGAATTTAACACTAAATTGTAAGTTATTAATTATTGTTTGATGGCGTCTATGATTTCGTAACGACGACCATCGCGACCTTCCGTGAAAATATTTATTACTAAACAAAACTGAAATCAAAATGTGATCAAAAGTTATATGAGAAGATTCGCAAGAACATTGTTATTGTAATGAGTGCATAAAGTTTCATAAATTAATTGCGTAAAGGATAGTAATTAATGAAAAACCAATGGCGTCTTCGACAACAATTCAAACACTCCGTAGAGTAATCATTAATAATTAATTAATTAGGAACAAATTTATATCGAAAAATATATGTGAAAGTTCTTGAAGGATCTACCTTTACGATGCAATTACAAAAGTTCATAAATTAATCATAGAAATTGAGCAATTCGTTAATTTTCTAGTACCGAATGAAAATTCAAACGACAACGGTTCAAGGTTCCAGTCCAATCTCATAGATGGCGCTGATCGAAGGCGCTTGAATTTGAATCGGTTATCCTAATAAATTAATTCGACACTGGAAAATTAACAAATCCTGCGATTCCGTAATTAATTCATGAATTTTTATAATTGCATCACAACCTCGGTGAAATAATTATTACAAAATAATTAATTAAAAAAGGAATTAATTTATCCAGAATTACCAAAAGGGTCAAATGCATAAAAGGAATAAATATATATATTTACTTTCCTATCAGAATGAAATCAATAGTAACTTTTAATAGAACAACTATAAATTTGCAATATTTTATGCATGAGACCACTTTGGCAATTCCAATATTAAAATGAATCGAACTCTTGGTACAAGTATGCTGTATCATTTATTTAACTATACTGTATAAAACAAAACTTAATCTGTAATATTAATTGTATAATTCTTGCAGAGTTTACCTTCCATGAAACAAATCTGCAAACAAAATTGGTCTATTACTCTCAGATTTTGAAAAAGATTACTTTCTTAAAAAATACGTAATTTATAAGAGATCTTTCTCTTACCCACTTTTCATATGCAGTTGTACTCATTGCTTTTGCAGAATTATTATTGCAAAATAAAATAAGGTGCTAAATACCCAGCTTCTACCCACAATATCCTTTCCATTTCAGTCGTACAGTAGTGCTCGTATCTTATCGATTAATGTTTGATTAAGCATTTCCAATTATTTGAGGTGTGTACAGTGTCGTAAAATTTAGTATAATTACTTTCTATCTGCACCAATTCTTGGATTCTCGAATGATAAACCCTTCTGTTTCTTTTATCGCATTTAAATCTGTATGTTATTCAACTTTGCTTCTGCTGCTACAATGCAATTAAACAATCTCTGTAATGCTTTAATATTTGATTCCATAACATAAATCCTCATAAAATTAATAAAATCTAAGACTATCGTCACATACTTATTTCTATTCCATGTCTCTGGCTCTATAAACTTACAGAAATCAGAATGTTTTGTCTCCAACTGGCTTCTCAACCTTGTTCTTGTCTCTCCAAATGGAGTCTTCGATTGCTTTGCTTCACAAAAATATCCTGCATTCTGCAATTCCTGTCTTTAGTACTCTTATCGTTAATTTTATTTTCAATACTTTCATGGACAACTCTTTCATATTCCCTATACATAGATTTCCCAATTTTCTATGAAACTCTACCAGCTTCTTCTTCCTCTCTACTAGTATAAAGTCCATTGCATTACACATATTCCTTATGAATATTTCTTCTTCGTCTGTATGAATTATTACTTCATATACTTTGAACATTACTTCACTACCTTCTCCAGTTATCAGATTTACTGACAATAAATTCTGTATCAAGTGTAGAACACAAACAATATTCAAGAATCTGGATTTATTCTAACTTTCGCTTTAACTTCCATGGAAATACTTCTTTGCACTAATCCAAATTCTACACTTACTTCTTCCTATTTTTTGAAAATA